CCAGGCTCTGCTCAGGGCTTAACTCTTGGTTGTGCTCAGGTGGCTAGATGAGATGGTAGGTGTTGGCCTCGTGCAAGGCAAACACTTTAACCACTATACTACCTCTCCAACCCGCCCTAGTTTTGGGGGCACTGCTAATGAATTGTACATGTATTGCAGAACTTAATGCATTATAGCTCCTCCTTAGTAACCATCTTGACAAAACAAAGGCATTAGTTTTTTTTTCTTTTTTATCTATTTTTTATATCAGAAATTTTTAATACTTGCAGGCTGATTAAATTTATTACTCATACCTACATAAAAGTAGGTTTGTGGTTAGAAAATCTTTTTTTTTCTTTTTTTATTAGTTAAACACCATGAGGTACAGTTATAGGCTTACAAATTTTGTGCTTGGGTTTCAGTTATACAATGATCAAGTGCCCATCCCTCCACCAGTGCCCGTCATCCATCACCACGGGTCCCAGCATCCCCCCCACCCCCAATTCCCCCCCCCCATCCCATCCTGCCTCTGTAGCAGGGTATTCCCCCTTGTTCTCTCTCTCTTCTTTTGGGTACTGTGTTTTGCAAGAGAGGCATTGAGTGGCAATCATGTTTGGTCTATAGACTACTTTTAGCATGCTTCTCCCACCCTGGGAGGGTCCTCACAACACCCTTCATTTGGTGCTCTCTTCTCTCTCTCTCTTCTCAAAGGCATTAGTTTTATGTTGCACTTTAGGAAACAGAAATCAAGGGCTTAAGTTCAGACGCTAATAAGCTTTAGACTCACATCATTAAAACCCTCTTTTAGAGTTGGTGTTCTTTTCCTTGATGACATATATTTTATGAATCTAGAATGAATGGCCTAAGGAAAAGGCTTGTTGATACATTCACTGACCACTAATGATTTGGGTGTCCAGACCTACTGTTATTACTAGCATATTTCACATTCGCAAATAAGAATTTTTTTGAATTAAGATTTTTACTCGTGTATGATATTATACAGTTACAGAAAAATTTAAAAGTATATAATTATACACCATATAAGATAAGGTACTGATAAATATGTACCCTTCACATAATACATACAAACAAAACCATGCTGGGGAAGTGGGACAATTGCAAGGAATATGCTTGGTGATAAATTCCGTACTATTACCTTTATTGGGTTTAGTAATCAGATTTTAAAAAATGGAGAAAGAGTAGCCCTTAAGAAAAACTTTTTTGGCCAGTTTAATGTTAAAACAATTAACATGGGTCCAGAGGGGGAAAATGTCTCCTGCTGTTCAGATAAGTGTAAAAGGTCAGCAAAACATAATAGCAGTTTGTTCCTTAAAATGGATGCTATGGAGGAATGCTACAGATTCCTATGCTAATTCAATACCATTAAAATCTCCTCATGACAAGCATCATGATGAAAATATTCGTTCCCCTGTTAGGCAGTATATTTTTTGAATAATAGATGGATCTGATAAACTGAGAACTTATTTTTTCACCCTATCCCTTACTAAACACTTTTTTTTTGAGGGGAGTTTATAGGAGGTCAAACATAAGCAACTACTGTCTGTTGTTCAAAGTCAAGTACATTGTTGAATTAAAACAGACATAACCTCCACTCTCTTAACATAGGTACTCAGAAGATACTTACTGTTAAACCTAGAGTGATCATTCTTAGTACCTCCTCTCCTAATACTTGGTTTATTTTATTTTTATTTTGCTATTTTTAGGCCTTTTTATAACATACCATTATAAATTATTATGAAATGAGTTGGGCTGGAGTGATAGCACAGCAGTAGGGCGTTTGCCTTCCACACGGCTGGCCCGGCCAAGCTGGGTTCAGTTCCTCTGCCCCTCTCGGAGAGCCCGGCAAGCTACCGAGAGTATCTCCCCCACATGGCAAAGCCTGGCAAGCTACCCGTGAGGCATTCGATATGCCAAACACAGTAACAACAAGTTGCACAATGGAGACGTTACTGGGCCCACTCAAAAGTGCTATTTTTGATGGACTGAATTTCCATTTGCCTCTTAAAACTCAGACAATTTATTTATAATAAAGGAATTCCCTCCCCATAATTCATTTTCTGGGATGCAGAATATAATGATATCTCTTTTCATGAACAAAATCCCTTTTGGGCCCCCAAAGGATGGATTTTTAGTTCATATTCTAATACATCAGACTTCACTTAAGTGTGTGCTTTAAAATATGCTTTATTATGAACCTGATCTTGTTGAAATACATTTAAATTAATTAAATGTAAATATTAGCCCTAATTTAAATGTTCACTGTTGAATATTATTTTATTCTTTATTTTGTCATGATTCTCTAATTGAAGATTGTCTTGTAGTAAAAAGGAGAAACTTTTTATCTGACAGTTTAGAAGTTAAGCCTCAAATTTAGGAGAACATTTGCTTTCTGATTGCTCTTATTTCTTCCTTAAATCCTTGAAAATAATTGATTTCATTGATGGCTCTGGTGGCGGCTATCAGTGTACTACTCCGCAACTCTAAAACAATAGTTTCTGTGTTAAACTAGGGTGCCTTGATTTAAAAAAGAAAACAAAACAGAACTGAGATGGTATGATCATGATGCATGGTTCATTGAGAACTATTCAGCTCACATGATAAAATGAAATTGGAATCCATTCGTTTCACTTAGGGTCCCAGCAGGAAATAAGCAGCCTGCTCAGAGGTATAATTAAAGATTTAATGCTTTAATGTAACTGTAATGCAATGCTGGGAGTGAAGGCAGGCAGACGTAAGCAAACCACAAATGATAATGAAGTACCCAGAGAGCAGGAAGCTCATTACTTTCAGGCCCGGTGGTGCAAGGATTCAGCGTGTGTCACTGGAAGTTAACAGGAGGGCAGGCCCCTCTTTGACAGGGGCCCAGATTGCTTGGAAAGAAAGCCACGGCCAATCTGTGACCCAGTGGGTTCAGTCAGGAAAGTGTCTACTTGGTCTCTCATTCCCTTGTTCTTTGATCTCTTCCTGGACACTTCCCTTTGACTCAGTCCACCCTGGAGCTGGCATGCATGGTCACCTGGTCAGTGCTCTCTCTGGAGGCCTGTCATCTTGCTGACCCAAAGCAGTGTCCTGGAGAATGGGGAAGAGGCAACTAAGTATGTCCCCGTAGTCTTAATATATCACTGTATCACTGTATCACTGTCATGCCATTTTTCATCGATTTGCTCGAGTGGACGCCATTAACATCTCCATTCATCCCAGCCCTGAGATTTTAGCATTCTCTCCTTACTCGTCCTTCCCAATGGTTATTGGAGGCTCTTTCAGGGTCAGGGGAATGAGAACCATGACTGTTGCTGCTTTGGGCATATCAAATACGCCACAGGGAGCTTGCCAGGTGCTGCCGTGCAGGCGGGATACTCCAGGTAGCTTGTCGGGCTCTCCAAGAGGGACGGCGAATGTATATAAGAGAACACAAGCAAGCATGTTAAAACCAAACACATATGTGCTGCTTTAGGTACATCAGTGGGCTAGACTACAAGAGGTCATGGCCGTGCGCTTCTGGGAGCTTTGTTTTATAGTCTCTGGATCTTGGCCATTGATGAGATTACATGGTGCTGGGGGCAGTTTGTGGATGTGACTGCCAAGCTACTGGAAAATGGGGGATCTGGTTGGAGAAGGCCCAGTCCCGATCTGAGCAGGCTTGGAGATCTCAGCCCCAGGTCCCACATACCTGTGTTCCTCTGCTGGTTCCTTCATGCGTGAAGCTCATCCCAACGTGTGGAGAGTGGCCTTGAGCATGGCTGTGGCTGGGTTCTGTCTGGAGGTTTTCAGCTGTCGGGGTTCTGCTTGGGGCGGGAACGGAAACTCAACCCTTCCCCCTCCAAGGGGCCCCGGTGTAGAGAGCCTGTCACTGGGGCAGGAGACTCCTAATGATGACCTTAGGAGTTTTAATGCATAGGACCTAAAACTTCAGTTGGCCCTCAAGAAGGAGCTGGTGCGGGCTGAGAAGAATGCCTCTTCTTCCAGGTCCTACAGGCTCTGCTAGCTGTGCAGTCTCTGCTTGTTCCACATTATTCTGGGCTGCAATATAACTGTGTTCATATAACAGGGCTGTTTTTTTTCTTTAAAAAAATAATCTGTTCTGTGTATGCTATAATTTACTGAGCACCATGTCTTGAATTTTTTATTGAATCCAGGATATTTCTCTTTGACTTAGTTTTTCCTCTCAGGGATGCCTGATTTCCCCCTTTATTCTGAGAGGCCTTCATGAGTGTGTTGAACTGTGCAGTTCTCTCCTTAACCGCATCACTCTCTGTCTCCTTCAGTGTTGTGGTACCTCAGCAATGTGCAGTGCTCTGGCCAATTTACTTCAGGGAGAGACATCACTTTCTGACTGCGGTCAAGCTTCACAAAGTGAAGGCATTGTTTTTCATACATATTAACTTATCTGTTTTCCTCAGCAGTCCCTAGTCTTGTTATGTTTTGGGGAGGTGAATATCACCACCAGTGATATTCAGAGGCCATTCCTGGCATCGTGTTGGGGGTTTGAGTGACCATGTGGTACCGGGGGTTGAACCTTGTGCAAAAACCCCTCGTGTAAAGCATGCTTTATAGTCTTCTGGCAACCTCCCCCACCCTTCTAAACATTGTTTTATTTCCATTCCTGTGCCATGGATTTACTTTGCTCTTTTTTGTTTGCTTATAATGCTGTAAATTAAATGATGACCTTAGGATATTTGATAAAAATATGTGTGAGACAAGGGTGAGAAGTGTCCAGGATGGTATGATAGGGCTAGAAGTTGAATTTTAAATCAGGGCAGGGTGATAGTTTGGAGATATATCTACCTCTCCCTAATCAAAAGATAACAAAGGTGGTAAAATGTTATTTTAGGGAGGGAGAAAGGAGCACTTCAGGCCATGGTTGGGGGACCTTAGGGTGATGGGAATTGAAGGTGGAACACGCCAAGCATGGACCCCAGCCCTTTGGGTCATTTTCCAGGCCCCATGGCATGAGTTTTTCACTGATTTCTTGACTGACTCTTGTCTTCGTGTTCACTCAGATTCGAAGCCAGAGCAAAGCCTCCGGGTCTGGACTCTGTGAGGGAGATGAAGTGGTTTCTATTAATGGAAACCCCTGCGCAGACCTCACCTACCCAGAAGTCATCAAGCTCATGGAGAGCGTGACGGACTCTCTCCAAATGCTCGTCAAAAGGTACAAAAGATGCTTTGGACTATACATTTTCTCTTGAAGCTAGGTGGGAACAGCTATAGCTTTTATAGCATAAGTTGTCATTCAGAGGGAAGTTGGAGGTGCTTTGTAGAGGTGTTATTAAGCTACAGAGTTTGAAAAATAGCAGTTCTGCTCAACTGAATTTTCTGGTTAGATGAGAACATCTTTGAACATCATTGATTTAAAATCTTCTCTGAAAATATGATTTATTTGTTTATTGGTTTGGGAGGCATACCTTGTGGTACTCAGGGGACCATATGGGGTGTTGAGGATCAAATATGGTTCAGTCAGGTACAAGGCAAGAGTACGCTCTTTCTGGAATCTAAAAATATTAAGTATTTTAGATTGAAAAAATAGTATGATGGACCCAAGCACAAAAATTTGTAAGCTACAACTGTACCTCATGGTGTTTCACTAATAAAAATTTAAAAATAAATAAAGTAAAAGTAAAGTAAAGGCCCTCCTGTTGATCATCGATTTGCTCTAGCGGGCCCAGTAACATCTCCATTGGAGACTTTGTTGTTACTGTGTCTGGCATATCGAATACTCTCGGTAGCTTGCCGGACTCTCTGAGAGGGGTGGAGGAATCGAACTCGGGTCGGCCATGTTGGCCACTTGTAAGGCAAAAGCCCTACCGCTGTGCTATCGCTCCAGCCTCGAGCAAAAAGAAATAAATAAAAAAATTTTTAAAAATGTATGTTGGAAACAATTTAGTACTTATAAATCAAGACTTTGTGAATATGGTTCACTAAGTTATAATTCCAAGACTCAAAGATGAATTAAAGATGTTAAAGCATTGCACAGTACAATAGTTTTTATAGAAAGAGAAAGTCTAAGACAAGTCAATTCCTTAAAGGCAGTCCAATTTCTGTGATTATAGGAACACTACTTGAGTATGGGCAGAAGCAGATGGTGACAATGAAGGTTTTGGACTCAAGTTAAAGTCACTTGACAATTTGATCTATCCAGATACCACCCCCCCACACACCCTATTTATTTATTTATTTATTTTTAAAAAATTATTTATTTCTACTTTTGGGGTCACACCAGCGATGCTCAGGGGTTACTCCTGGCTCTGCACTCAGGAATTATTCCTGGTGGTGCTCAAGGGACCGTATGGGTTGCTGGGAATCGAACCCAGGTTAGGCCACATGCAAGGCAAACACCTTACCCACTGGGCTATTGCTCCAGCCCCCACCTCTGCACTTTAGAACTAAAGTGCAATGCTCAGTAGAATCCATTCTTATGAGGCTGTAGGTGCAAGTCTTATTACCACAATATTCATGCAGAATATTTCATTCATAAGAAATATTCTTATTACCTATACAAATATTCAAACTTTAAACATAAAAACAAATAAAAACATCCATGAGGGCAAGTGGAAAAATCCATAATGTCAGCATTTTTAGTGTGCAAATCACAATATAGCCCCTACTAATTGCAGGTAAGGCCCTGGCTGTGCTATTGTAAAACATGCAGAGAAAAAAGCTCTGACTTGATGGAGAATAACTGTCAGGAGGGAAAGTATCTCATCTGGACTCTACCTTCTGGGCCTTATTCTGATGCAATGCTGCGTGCAGTCAGATTCCTCTGATAATCAACATGATCAGTTCCTATAGCCCAAAGGTTTTGAAAATAGAAGGAAATCTAGCATTACTCTTATTATCTCAGAGTTGGACTGTCAGTGGTTAACTTAATGGGGCAGATACATTTATTTCTTCTTTAATGATGCATGTTTTATAATGCACAGTTACTTCAATTTTTTAAAAAAAATATTTGCTCATCAAGTCCAGTGTTGAAACCCTTAGAGTCCTACTTATGCTATTTGCTTTTGAAATACAACTGGAGTGCTGCCAAGTGCAGTGTTCCAGCCAGTGCCATTACCTTGTATAAATCTCTGAGCTATTTGAAGATTTCTATCTCTAGGAGATGTGCTCACATCCCCAAATGAGGTAAACCTTTTCTGGTGTATTTCCTTTTCCTTTTTTAGTATCTTCAATAAGTTAATGAGGCCAGTTTCTTTGAAACACACTCATGCTCTGGGACATCCCCGACGAGTTCTTGTGTTTTGTTGCTTTTGCTGTTACTTTTGCTTTGGGGGGCCATACCCGGCAGAGCTCAGGGGTTCCTCCTAGTTCTGCACTCAGGAATTACTTCCAGAGGTGCTTGGGGATCAGGTGGAATGCTGTGTATTAAAGCTGCTTGGCCACATGCAAGATAAATGCCCTACCTGCTGTACTATCTTGCTGGTCCTAGGTTTTGTTTAAATTTTGATGTTATCATTGGAAAAGCATTAGTGATTTAAAGCTGAGACATAAAGACAAATTTGCATTCAGAACTAAATGACCAATGTCTGCGCACCTTTAAATGACTGGAATATGATATAATTCATTTTCTTTCAAGTATTTAACAGTTAGGGCTTGGGAAATCACTCAACTTGCTGAGAGCAAGTTCTGCAGGCAGAAGCCCCAGATCCTAACCCCTGTTTTGTGTGATCTATCAAGCAACTGAACCAGGAGTTGGCCTCCATAAACCACTAGGTATGACCCAAAAGCCTCATACAGAAACACATTTTCAGTTATTGATTGATGAAATTAAAAAATTCAATCTCAGAAAAAAAAGTTCAATCTCAGAATTAGCCCATAGTCGTCGTCGTCATCACCATCATCATCATCATCATCATCATCACCATCACCATCACCATCACCACTCTCTAGATGCTGGACTTGGTTTTCTTTGATTTTTATATTTCTCTTACTCATAACAGTCATCTGTCACTGAAGGATAAGTATTTTACTTTTCCTGGTCTACTTCCCAGAGACAGTTGGGTCAGAGTTTCTTAAAATATGCCTTTAAAATGGGCCAAGGCTTAGGGCTGGAGAGTTAGTACAGGAGGCAGACTGTTGCCTGATATGCAGCTGACCAGGGTTCGATCCCTGCAACACCCCTGTGGTCCTCTGAACCTCTCCAGAAGTGATCTAAGAAAGTGGTCTTTGAGCACAGAGCCAGGAATAAGTCCTGAGCACTGTCAGGCATGGTCCAAAAGGTAGGGGGAAAGGAAAAAGGCCAAGGTTGTATAGCTCAGTGGTACATAATATATTTTTGAATGTTTGATGAAGTCCTGAGTTCAATGTCCAGAACCACCACAAATAATAAAGACTCCTTTAACATTAAGTCTCTGTTAACTTAAACTTTATTAAAATGATAAGGTAAAATATTTTGTAATCATCACAAATAAATTGTGGAATATGTGTGTAGATAGAACGGAAATGAATGTTTTAAGATTAAAGACCTCTAGCTCTAGTGTTTCTATGAATTTTTATCCCTTATTTATATCCATTTAACCAAGGCTACTAATAGAGGTTGGAACATTTACCTAACAATTTGCCTTCTCTATAGTTTGTAATGCTGGAATAAATTCAAGCTACTCTCTTCTTAGCATCGTAATTGGTTGCTAACATAATTTGAAGTGATTTAATCTACTTCCATCCTCAGGCTTCCTAAATTAAAGCTCTCTGACCTTTTATTACCCTCAAATTCAGTTGCATAGAGTGTATTTATCATTTTATATGCAAGAAAGATCTAATTTGCTGCCATTATGTTTTTAAAATATTGGGTAATACTGTTTTCTGTAATACCAGAAACCTTTACAGATTACTTGCAGAGAAAGCTGCATTTCATTTGTTCCTTAGTTTGTTTTTGTTTTGCTAACTGCATTTGAAAATAAAGTTAGTAGTAATTATTATGAAAATTGTTCTAAATTCTACCATCAAACAAATTCTAAGGTAAATTTCCCTGGTAGAGTAGAAATAGGAGCTTCTTTCCTTCAACTGATGATCCTACGTAAATTAGCATGAATTTTGAGAGAGCAAAAAGGAACAAAGAGCGTTTTTGCTGTTTTTTAAAGAACAAACCTTATAAATATAAAAAATAAAGGTATCTCCTACACCTGTTCTGTTAATGATATTCTAAAAGAAACTGAAAGTTTTAGAGTTTTAACAGGAAGTTTTTAATCTGTAAATTGACAGTGGGTTGATTTTTGTCTTTTGTTTTTGTTTTGTTTTGTTTTTGAAAACTCAAATCTACAAAACCAACCAGTTAGGGTAAAAATCCAAAAGACTATGGGGGCACAGCTCTGGAATCTTTCACTGAGCGAAAACAGAGCAGTCTGACTTCAGAACTCCTAAACGGAAAATGCTCTACGATACAGGTTCAAACAGAAGAAAAGGAGAGATCTCAGATTATAAATACCCCATGACTCAATGATTCATTGCAGCATGGAATGGATTTCTCTTTACACAAGAGTACTGGGCTGGGGTCCACCTATTACAAAACACATAATCACTGGAGCTTTAAAAACAGCTTCTGCTTCATTCTTTTCAAGAAAGCACAGTCTCTAAAAACAATACTTGAATTATCTGTGTATTAATATTGAACTGCCAGATCTGTTTATGTGACTTTATAATGTCCACATCTAAACTCGGCCAATAAAGCATTGAAATGTTTTGTCTTACTATTAAGAGCACATTATTACTTTTTTTTGAAGCACCCAAATAATTACAAATAGAAGGTATCATGTTGTCATAAACCTGCAGTGCTTTTTAAAAAGTCAAAAGGGCTTAGGATCTATAATCATTTGTAAGCACTTTGGCTTTGCTTTAAAGAGAAGTATATTTGGAAGATCTTTAAGTGCCTAATAGTATTATAAACAAGTTGCCCAATTCATTTTTTCAGATATGTTGCAGTTGACATTTAAGAGGGAAATCTTTTTACTGTATCATGTATTAGGCATCAGAAAATAAAAGTGTCAGGAAGTTCTTTGGCAGGTGTGGCACATTCAGATTTAACTGTCTGGGATGATGTTTCTGTGTGCAGATCTCCGAGTGGGATAAATGAGACTTTGATCCCTGAAGCTGAAAACCAAAACCACAAGCTTCTCACCCGTGAGGGGTGCGTGGAAAGTACCACCCTGCAGATTCGACCGGCCACAGGCAGCCAATGCAAAGAGTTCTCCAGCAGCCCGGCCCCCCACAGAATCCCCGTGGCCGAGGACGGAGAGAGTGGTCCAGACTGCTCGGGAAGTGTAAAAGAAGACCCAGCCTCCCCTGGGGCTCCCCACACAGTGGAATTCCGCAGAGGATGCTTAGCAGAGGAGACTGTCCTAAGCGGGGAGGTGCAAGCAGGGCTGCCTGAGTCTCCGGTTGAATTCCAGTTGTCCCTTCCGCAGGAGAGGCACGAGGGCTCCAGTGCCCCAGGGGAGGCTCCCCTCGAAGCCGAAAAATCTCAGTCTCCTGACCCAACTCCCCCCTTCCAGCATGACAGTGCTGCCCCACTCCAGCCAGTGCCTGCCGAGGAGCCCCGGGGCCTTTCCCTGAGATCCAGCAAGACAATCCAGCTCTCCAGTGGCCTGGACTTGACAGCAATCCCGGACAGGGAAGCAGGCAACGTGGGGCTGTCCCGAGTGGACGTGCTCCTCAACTGCTCTGCCAGGCAGCAGACGGAAGGGTACAGGCTCCAGGCAGGAAAGGGGTGTGTGGACTCTCCAGGGGAAGGAGGGCAGTCCGAAGCACCTCCTTCTCTGGTATCCTTTGCAGTCTCCTCAGAAGGCACCGAGCAGGGGGACGAGCCCCACTCGGAAAGGGATCACAGCAGACCTCACAAGCACAGAGCGCGCCACGCACGTAAGTCCTGCCTGAGAGCCACCGGGGGGCTGTAGCAAGGGACTTGGGCATTTGGGGCATTTACTGCTGCGTCCCCTGCATGGATCTTTCATTTGCAATAATTTTTTTCTTAGCTATTTGATTTGCTCTCTTAAAGAAAATATTTATGAATGCATGAACTAGCAAATGTAAAATTGTGAAGAATACCAACTTCTGCATCAGAAGCAGTACATTTAATTTTTGTTGTAGATATAAATGCTTTTAATTTGCTTGCTTTTATCTTCCCCAATGGCACAGGAGCTGTTAAGGCAAATATTATTGTTCATGTGCCGGTTTGATTTTTCCCTGGGTGCTGTAATATTTCATGTTAAAATAACATCTGAGAGTACCCCCGATTTATATGTCAGAAACTGTTGCATTCGCTACCGTGAGTGGGTCTTCAAAACTCAGGCTCCACCACTGATACTCAAAGCAGACCCTCTTTTGGAGAGTAGAAAAAGTCATTGTGCAGCTTGATGATGCTTGCAGAAGTGAGTTTGACAGACAAGGGCATATGGAATACAGAGCAGTTACATGATCCTCACCGTTTTGTAAGACTTCACTCGACTACAAGCGTTCCATCTACCTTCTAGACACAGAAGTCAGACTCTGGGTCCATGTGTAGACACTTAAATGTCTCTAAACCTAAAATGTGTTTAAATTCAAGGGATTTTAATGGCATTTTTTTTTCTGTTACTCAGGAAAGCAATCATAGAAAGGAGAGTTAGAATAAAGAATGGCCGTTAGGTTTTATGACTTTCATTATTTTTTAAATGTCCCTTTATTTATTAAAAATTTTTTGAATTTTACTTGATAATACAGATACTAAAAGGTAAAATCACTTGAGTGTACGACTGATACTTACCAGCAATGAACGCAGTAACTCAAATTGGTATCCAAAGTGCTATAGACCTGAAGCTTACTGGAGCCTAAAAACTGATATTACTTTAATAAGAATTTATTTTCAGGCTGTAGAAATAACTCAAAGGGCTGATCACATACTTTGCGTGCAGGAAACCGCAGCTTGATCCCTGGGTGTGCATGGTCCCCTGGGCCACTGAGCTGGGCGTGACCCCTGAGCATAGAGCCAAGAGTAGCCCCTGAGCACTTCTGGGTGTCACTCATAATAATAATAATAATAAAAGAATAAAGTTTGAAAAAACTTACTTAATATTTTTGAATGAGTGGAGATAGTCCAAATGACTAGTGTGCATGCTTTGTCTGCAGACGGCCCAAGTTTGAGCCCTGGCACGCATGGGAGCACCACCAAGCTCCTAGCCAGGAGTCGCCCCAAATGCTGCCAGATGTGACCCAAACACCGAAAAATAAACCAAGCAAAACACCACAACCAACAACCAATTTGAACAAAAGAAATATGCCAAACTTGTAGATGTCTTTTAATTTAGAAAAGGGAGTGAGAACCCGCCCTCCCACCCCGACATCACATACCATGCCTCTCACCCATTGTAATTCCTTTCCAAGCATATTTTTAGCACAACCATTTGTAGCTGTATTGGCACGCGCTGCTAATCATTCCTTGTACATGAAGCATCTGTACGCATCCTCACATTTATAGCATATTAGACACGTGTGGGAAGCAGCACTCACATACTTCATATGCCGCCAGTGAAGTCAGCAGCGCCGTGCAACTGTGACTGTCAGTTTCATCAGTTGTATAACACTAATCAGAAAGGAATCACCTTCAGGGACACAAAACCAACTTTTCATTCGTTTTCTCTAGATATATATTGATCCTAATTTTTTTTTTTTTTTTGCTTTTTGGGTCACACCTGGCGATGCACAGGGGTTACTCCTGGCTCTGCACTCAGGAGTTACTCCTGGTGGTGCTCAGGGAACCATATGGGATGCTGGGAATCAAACCCGGGTCAGCCGCGTGCAAGGCAAATGCCCTACCCTCTGTGCTATCTCTCCAGCCCTGATCCTAATTTTGTTTTAAGAAATAATTTCTCTGATTGCATTTTATCTTAAAAAAAATACTAAGTCTGATGTCTTCCAGTGACAGCAACACCTCATTTTCAAGCATAAAATAGAGCAAGATTTTTCAGAAATTTTTATTTGTTTTGAGGCGTTTAGAAATTGTGTGTGATCCATGATAATACAATTTGTGGATGTACAATTAAGTAGTTACCAACTCATTTTTAACAATACAAATATAATTTAAAATTTAAATGGAAATTGTATTTTTGAACTCTTGAATATTTTAAAATGTGTAATTTCTGTGTAAGGTTTTTACCTGTAATTTTTTTACCAGTGATATAATTTTTTAAATTTCCCCATTATTTGCAATTATTCTTTCTATATCTAAAGTGCTATTATTTCCAAAATTGGGATATATATATAAAAATCCTTATACAAACAATAGTGCAGCTAAGATTTCTTGTACATATTCACAATGATCTAATATTCTGACTTATTGTTATTGATTCAATACCTTCAATTAGCATTCATCCAGTGTTAAAAAATTCATGAAAATTAAAGTAGATATGAACAAACTTTGAGGGGGTGTCAGAGTTTTAAAAAGGAATTTAATTATTTAAATTCATTACATTCAAGCATTTAGGCACTTGACATTTCCTCACCTTGCAGTTTGTTTGCTTTTTATTTTTGGCAACACCCACTGGTGCTCAGGGATCACTCACAGTGATGCTTAGGGGACCACAGGGTGCAGGAGCAGAACCCTGAAAAGTTCACGCTCCAGTCCTCTGACCTACTCTCTGGCCTTTGGTTTTGGTTTCTGGCTTAGGGAGCCTTGCAGCAGTGTGAGGGGTCTCCCAGGGAGCAAGGCAGGTCCTGTGGGACTGGGAAGAAAACTTGGGGTCTTGTCCATGCCAGGCTGTATTCTTGGAGCTTCGTTCTGCTTTTCAAAATACCCATATTGGCTTTTTGTTGCCCTAATATGGAGTAACACGGTAGACCTTGTTTTTCAGAAAGGACTATGTCCTTAAATTATTTTCTTTTCAATTTTGATTGCATCTCGGTTACTGACGTTCACTGAGCAGTGCTTAATGCTGAAATGTAAGGCTGTTTTAGGAGACAAATTATGAAACATTCCAGTCAGCATATAGAAAAAGATTCTCGTGAGCAAGTGAAACAGAGATTCCCAGAGTTCTCTCCCTATTGTTGTATGTTACTAGTGGAGGAAAATCATTGAAGCAATAAGATTTCTCCAGAATTCAGTAGCTTTGCTTTGCATGCTGAAGACCTGTTCAACAAGGGTCACGCCCAAGCACACAGCTGGCAGTGGCCCCCAAGCAGAACCAGATGGGGCCCAAAATTACAAATCATAATTCGGTGGCTTCTTGTGCCCATATCATCTTTCCACAGAGCCGGGGATTCTGGGTGCTCCAGAGTCCACTTGAATACATTCCTCAGTGTCACTTTTGTTCTTTCCCTTAGGGCTCCGGAGGAGTGAAAGCCTATCGGAAAAGCAGGTGAAAGAAGCCAAATCTAAATGCAAAAGTATCGCTCTCCTGCTAACAGATGCCCCGAACCCCAACTCCAAGGGGGTGTTGATGTTTAAGAAGCGGCGGCGCAGGGCCAGGAAGTACACCCTCATCAGCTACGGGACAGGGGAGCTCGACCGAGGGGCGGGCGGGGAGGAGGAGGAGGAAGGCGACCCCGAGGCCATCTCTGAAGTGGCCTTCCTGGGTGCCAGCGAGTCGGAGGTGGACGAGGAGCTCCTCTCGGACACCGAGGGCAGCAGACCCGTTGTGAACTTCGACTGGGATTCTGGACTGGTGGACATCGAGAAGAAGCTGAACCGAGGAGACAGAATGGAGACGCTGCCGGACACCGCAGGCAAGGGGGCCCTCATGTTCGCCAAGAGGAGGGAGAGGATGGATCAGATCACAGCCCAACAAGAAGAGGAAAGGGGGGGCGGCATGCCCGAGGTTGCCCCGCCCGATGGCTTGAGAACCCTGACTTCTTACCAGAGGAAGGAGGAGCAGGCCGTGAGCATGCAGAGCTCCGTGAGCAAAAGCTACATTGAGGTGACACCGGGGCTGGGCCACGTGCCGCAACAGAATGGCTTGAGTGGGCTGCCCGAGACCCCAGAAGCCCACCGGATGATGCCCATGAACAGAACGGCCAAACCCTTCCCGGGGTCCGGACACCAGGCAGCGACCCCCTTCTCTCCCACCCGAAACGTGACAAGTCCCGTTGCTGGCTTTCCTGCCCCTCCGCCTTATTCTGCAGTCACCCCTCCTCCTCCAGAGGCCTTCTCCCGAGGAGTATCGAGTCCCACCGGTGGCCCAGCACCGCCACCTCCATGGCCGCAGCCTGCTCCCTGGTCCCAGCTGGCCTTCTACGACGCCCCCGAGCGCATTGCTTCCCGGGATGAGAGGATCGCAGTGCCAGCCAAGAGAACGGGCATCCTGCAGGAAGCCAAGAGGAGAAGCACTACCAAACCCATGTTCACATTTAAGGAGCCCAAAGTGAGCCCCAACCCCGAGCTCCTGTCGCTGCTGCAGAATGCAGAAGGTAAGCGGGGTGCCGGAGCCGGCACCGACTCGGGACCTGAAGAAGACTACCTGAGTTTGGGCGCTGAGGCTTGCAACTTCATGCAGGGTGCCTCTGCTAAACAGAAGACCCCGCCACCCGTGGCCCCGAAACCTGCAGTAAGGTCATCCCCTTCCCAGCCACCGACTCCAGTCTCTCCGGTCTGGGCGCCAGGAGGAGCCTCTACCCAGCCTCCAGCCTTCCCCACGCCCAGCCCCTCGCAGGGCACCGTGGTCTCCTCTATCAAAGTCACCCAGCCTTCCTACCCTCCGGCCAGGCCCGCGAGCGTCCAGAACCTGGCAGGTCCCTTCCCGGTCCAGAGGGCGGCAGTGGCCAGTCAGAATTACATACCCAAGCCATCAACTGGTCCCACCCCAACAGCAAACACTACTGCTTATGCCGGGTCAGTGGGACCATCCAACGAGCTTCCAGGAATGAGCGGGAAAGGAGCCCAGCTCTTTGCCAAGCGGCAGTCCAGGATGGAGAAGTATGTGGTTGATTCTGACACAGTGCAGGCGCATGCGGCCCGGGCTCAGTCTCCCACCCCGTCGCTTCCTGCCAGCTGGAAGTACTCGTCCAATGTCCGGGCACCTCCTCCCATGGCCTACAACCCCATCCACTCTCCCTCCTACCCACTGGCTGCTCTCAAATCACAGGCCTCAGGCCCACAAGCCGCCAAAACGAGCAAGAAAAAGGGCAAAAAGCCCCTCAATGCTTTGGATGTCATGAAGCACCAACCATATCAGCTCAACGCATCCTTGTTCACTTTCCAGCCACCTGATGCCAAGGATAGCCTCCCCCAGAAGTCAACTGTTAAGATCAGTTCCGTGCCGGCCATGACCATGAAGCAAGCCCTTCCTCCCCGGCCCCTGAGTGCTAGCTCACCCACTAACGCGCAGGCCTCATCCGTGTACTCTGTTCCAGCCTATAGCTCCCAGCCTGCCTACTTTGCAGAGGCCAGCTCCCCAGCCAGCGCCTCCCCGGTGCCCGTGGGCCTTCCCACGTCTCCCAAGCAAGGATCAGCCTCACCATCTTATTTTGTGGCACCGAGACCGAAGTTCTCAGCCAAGAAAAGCGGTGTCACAGTTCAGGTGTGGAAACCGTCAGTGGTGGAAGAGTAATGTGGTAGCTTATTGCCCTCTTTGCCTGAACTCAATTGTTTGCAGTGTTACTTGAGTCCCTGAAAATGCCTAGTGAGTCCTCAGCTTACTTAACTTCAGATGTCACCTCCCATTCTGGGTCCAAGGAGCGTAATCTTTTTTTTTTTAATGAGTCAAAAATCTAACTCAGGTTGCCTTTTAAAAAGACCTATCTACCTTCCTTGCACACTCCAAAAACCCCAGGGCACCCCCAATACACATGTGCGACTGTGATAAGTAAGCAGGAGATGTAGGATTTATATTTGAACCACAAGAAAGATGGTGATCAGTGTTATCAAACATTAGGACATAGCCTTTATGTAACAGAGCAGTTATGCTTATATGGTACAGCTCCAAGTGTAGTGAAAATGTGACGTGCATGGACTGGAATTGCTTTGTTACAGCCTATGTTAGCTCAGACATAAGAACTCTGTGGAGGAAAGGACACAGCTCTGGTCCGTCACCCTCAACCACACATTTGCTGTCTCAGCAAAGATGCCCCTGAGATTACTGGACATGAATTGTCTTTAGGGAAGTGGAGCAGAACGAAGGGGTGTTCATAATTCCTGCACACTTGTTTTGCATTTGCTTCCTTGCCAGGGATTTTACCTATTTTAATTGACTTCAGTAAAGCTGAAAGAGCAAGCAGGGCGATTATGCTGAGAGACTAGTTCCATCCTCCTTCCTTCCTGACGTAAGAAACTGAGAAAATCTCCAGTTGCCAGTGATGCCGGAGGTTCGCTTACCTCAGTGGAGGCGAGTGGTAGAGCCGAGCAAGAAGGCATCATGTCTAGGAAAGTAGCAGGCTGCAGGGAAGGTAGTCCTGAGGGCTGTTTCTGACACAGGAACCCCATGCACGTGGAGGCTCAGATCACCTGATGAGTAGATGCGCTTGGGAACCACCTCACAGCTTTCTTTTCTTGTGTTTGTTTTGCTTTTTGAGGACTGCTTCTCACACTATTCATTGAAATGATCTTTTTGCATCTTTACTTGATTATTTATATTTGATGGACCAGGAGGATTCAGGCCAGGTTACCTTGTAAATTTGGAATGGTCCCACACTGTGTGGTCATCCAGCTGGCTAAGAAGTTATCCATGCCATTGACAGTAACCCTGAAGACCTTTCTTATATCTATCTTAAGTCCAAGTCTGACCAACCGTGGAAAATAGTCAATGTAGAGATCCACAAAGCAATTTGACAGCTCCAAGGAAAGCTATCAACAAAATACAGGAGATATGTTCAGAGACTTCTCATAAAAGTTGGCCTGGTTTGAGGGTACATGGTACTACTATTTTAGCCCTCCGAAAATATCTGTATTCCTGTTCTTTTTTTTCTGCTGTCACTGTCAATCTGCTATGTATTTTTCACTGTCCTATTAAAATATTACTTCTGTATCTGTTCATGCCTTATTTTACAAAAATCCCCCCGTGTAAGCTGTTCTGACCTGTCATTTTCCTGACATTTCTATTGCTCCCCAAACATCTGAGTTTTCTCTTTGTGAGCTTATCCATTTCTGTTTGTTGTAAAATTGCAAGCTGTAGGTGTTTCTAAAACATAACACTAAGAGGAGAATTAAGTCAGCTACAGAACAATGGAGCCAATTCTTTGACTTTTGTTCTGGCAAACCTGCCATTGCCTTTAGTGGCAATTTACCTAGAGGTTACAACAGGATGTGCTGGGTCTCTTATTTGCCTTTTTGGGAAATCAATTAGGAAGATTAATTCAGGATAAAGGAAAAAGCAGTCTCCCCATTATATAACACTATTGTTTGTATCACTTGTTCCCTGCAAAGGAAATCCATTGAAGCTGTGTATTTTGCATTCTTTTCTCATAGAACAACCAAAAAAGGCTCTTGAGGTGAAGCAGGAAAGGAGATCGTTTTTATAACTTTGCATTCTTAACATAGTGTTTAAAGAACAGCATGAATTAGAGGAAAGATAATGCAACACAAGGCTCTTTATGTGAGGTCATCAGTTCAAAAGTAGCCTGAGCTGGTAATGACCCAGAAGTATCCCCAGTTGCCAGTGGTTTGTGGTGGATAGGAACCAGAAGTGTTTTCAGCCTGTTTCCTCTTGGACAGGTGACAGTCTTAACAGAGCGCTGTTTAGAGTTGGTGACTAAAGACACAACTAGCCTGACTGGGACTGTCACTTGGGTTCCCCAAAAGCCAGGCATTCAAGGCATCACAGCAGGGACTGGGATCTGGTGTCAGAGGTGTCATCTTGAACCATCGAGTCCCACATTCTGGGGTGGGGGTTTTCCTCCAAAATTGTGCCCCTCCAAGTCTAACCTTCCCCTGATATGAGGGTCCCAGGGGAGATGGAAGGACCTATGCCAGATCCCGGGGGGAGGGGCAGCATAGACACTTGACCCTTGTTTGCCATCTGAACCGTATCGCCTCTCCAGTGGGAAAGGTGGAAATGACGTCAGCATGCCAGGTGGAGTGTTAGACCTCCTGACTTCAGCTTCCCTCCCGTCAGTCACAATGACATTTTGGGGGCTATTGCTTTTGTTGTGGTGACAGATACTTGCCTTGTTGGTGGGCTGGTCATAAACTTGGAGGAGGCACTTTTGTTTATAATCTTCAGCACCCTGCCCCCTCCCTTGTCCTTTGTCAGCTTAATTTCTAGGCAAAGTCATGTCTTATGTTTTCAAGGGGGAGCAGGGCCATATCCAGTAGTGCCCAGGGGCTCCTCCTAACTCAGTGCTCAGTGCTCTCTGCGGTGCTCGGCGGGGTCATGCAGTGCATCAAACTGCATCGACACTCCAGCTCGTGGAGCTACCTCTCTGGCCCGAAGACAAGTTTCCTCATCCACACCACAGCAACAATCAGTTTCTGAGCAACGATCAGTTTCAAAATGTTCTTTGATGCCTTAAGTACTTTCTCCTGGGGGTGAGGGGTACCACTGCATAATTTACACTCACTGGAACAGAAAATAAAATGCAACTAAACACCGACACTGACTGACTGCAGGACCTTAGGCATACTTCTTTCTATAAGTTTCCAGCTTGATAATGCCTCCCTGCACACCGCACACCTTTCCTTTCTGGTATGAGTGCTGTGTTCCTGTTGGCATGAACAGTGTGCCTTCTCTCAGAGGAAGGGTGCTGTGTGAATAAGACAGTGCATTCCCCTCAGTGCAACTGCCAACGGCCTGTAGTCTTTTTTTTTTTTAAATATATGGTGGAACTTGTTTATTACACATAAATTATACAGAAATACACACGTAGATAACTTCTATAGGCATTTTTTTTCAAAAGGGACTGACCACCATAAAATTAAATACTATTAAAATTTACTTTCTTTCACACAATATGGATTTCTGTTCTGGTTGATTATTATACAGGATAAAAATTTTGAAGGATGACAGGAGGCCGTGTCTCTAATGTCTCCACGGGCCTGCTCCTGCATTCTTCCTCTACATTATTCTCCTCCTGTCCCCCTTGCTAGTCTCTCCATGCTCCATCTTGCTGTCCTGGTCTCTGCACTCTCTCTCTCTCTCTCTCTCTCTCTCTCTCTCTCTCTCTCTCTCTCACACACACACACACACACAAACACACACACACATCTTTCAATCTTTCATCTCTCTCTCTCTCTCTCTCTCTCTCTCTCTCTCTCTCTCTCTCTCATCTCTCCTCAACTCCTCACATTGGGGGTAGCCACCACACCCAGTCAGGTAGCACAATCAACATATCAAAAGCCCTTGCCTATCAGGCTCAAGGGAGGGAAATACCACCTAGGGGTGTTTCTCCTCTCCTTCCTCATAACTTAATTAACATCTTAATTAACATCTTAATTAAAATCTTAATCCTACTCCTTAACATTAGTTATTTTGTATGGGCACAATAAGAGATACATTGAGCCTGTAGGGTGACTCTCCTGGAGATATCTCGCTACAGATCTCAGACTACAGTGCTCAGGCCGGATTAATCATTCCTAACCCAGCAGGGTCCAAATCTAGTTATTACTTTTTGGATCATGACAGAAGTTGTCCGTGACCATGCTCTTAACTTATAGTTAAGTATTATGGCACTTTGGCCTGGCCCATTTCGATGCCAGGATAGCTCACCACTTGCCCTGGGTCCATCCAGTCCCTCATCAGGACCCTGCTTTTAGAGTGCTAGGAAGTAAGGGCAACTGAGGCTTAAACCGAGAGAACAGATGTCCAGGAGGTAATATTATCTGGAGTCAATTAACTCCCAAGTTACAAAAGCATAGCATTAACTGTCTTCCTGTGTCTATACCAAAAGGACAATTAACTATGCAAAGGACTTAAGGAGGAGAAAAAAACAATATTTACAGGTCAGCAGAGTCTGATCAGGAAGCAAAGGTAATTGACAGGTTGAGGAAGCAGAGCACATAGAAAGAAGTTAAAAATAAACACAGAGGAATGTGAGCACTGTGATGGGAGTAACTCAATAAACCTAAGCTCCCTGTGGCAAGGCAGAAAGGAAAAACCAGTGTTATCCTACAAGTTATAAGGACAGGAAACTGCCAGGACGCACATTCTGAGGGTGAGTTTCCACACTCAGTTGCTATTTTGTTGGTACCTTTGGCCCAACCGTAAAAGATTTGTTGGAGTCTTGGTCCTCCCAAAGAAGCCATGGTTTCGGAAAGCAAAGGGTTTCCAGAGGGAAGCAGTGCTCAGAGATCTGATTTTCTTCATTTGTTTTGGAAGTTTTTGTGGGTTCATGAGAAATATTTGTAAACTCTGAGAGCCCACATTATTATATTCCCAGAAGCACTGATCCCTCTTGGTCTCCTGTCTCCTTATCACTGGGCTCAAGGGGACACGAAGACTCAGGTCACACTTCAGCAATGCTGAGTTCATCAACAAGTATTCTGGGAAAGAGCAGAATTGAATTCTTTCTTAGACTTCCCACCATGGTTGGCCAAGGGCCATAAAGCAAACTGATAAATTCCCACAGGACCCAAACACCCGGCTTAAAGAGCAAAATTGCAAAAAAAAAAAAAAAAAAGACAAAAAGAAACAGTTCCTGTTTCTTCCTGTTTGTTTTCTTTTAATGGCACACCCGTCAGACCAGTGAAAACTAGCCTTCAGAAGGAAGCCTCCAGTAAGAACTGTCCTTTCTTTGATGTTAACCAGGTACCAGGTACAGCCAGTTTTTCAGTTTAAAAAAAAATTATGTTTCTACAGTATATGTATGTGAACTATAAATTACAATTTTGTACTTATAAATCACAGAACTAACTACTCAGAAGCAACTGAGTAAAGATAAGTTTAAAATTATCCAGTCTCAGGGACCAGGGAGAGACAGCAGAGGTTAGGAACACATGCCACTTAGTCCATATAGGATCCTGAGCATCACCAGGTGTGGCCTGTGGGGCCCCAAGAACTGCTGGGGTGCCCCTGGTGGTCCCTCAAACTCAGGGCCCAAGCAGCACCCCATCCTTTGGCTCCACAATCAGCCATCCAGTCTGGTGGTCTGAGTATTAGTAGAGGTGGTCTCCAGGCAACTGAGCAATGCATTTTTACACACACACACACACACACACACACACACACACACACACACACGATCCTGGCAGACATTTCTCAGATTTCTAGTTTTCTCAAAGGTTTGCTTGCTTGTAATAAAATACATCATATGTATAGAGAGAAACCTACGCTTCTCTCTGCATAGAATATTAAAAAAAAATGGGGGGGGGAATCTAAATATAAAACTCCTCATATGTGTCGCTCTGTTTACTTGTTCCTGACTTGCTTATCTATATTTTGTGTTTGTTCACTGGTTAAATACATAGAAATGATCTGAAGGGGCTGGGCCTATAATGCAGAGGACAGGAGCCCTGGGTCTGAACCCTGGCACCACGTGGTCCCCAGAGAACTGTCAGGGGTTGCTCCCAAGCATCAGTAAGAGCGCTTCCTCCCACAAATTATCAGCAGGCCAGGGACATAGCTTAAAGGGCAGAGCACAGGCTTAGCATGTCCAAGGCCCTGGATTCGATCTCCTATACTCTGTATTCCTCAAGCATGACTGGGTGTGGCGCTAGTGTCCTCTGAGTTCCACCACCCCTAGCACTGAACATCAGGCCCATAGTGCCAGACCAGATACTCCCAAGAATTGCCCTGAAACCCCCAGCACTGCTAAACATGGCTACTATACAAAATAATCACAAGGACACCCTTGCCCACCTATGTGACACGTAAAAATAATATTCAAGTGAAGGCAACTTTGAAATATATCAGGGAAGAATCCTGCTTTCACAATCCTTCCTCCTGAGCGCCTTACTAACTAGCAATAGTTTGTTTATGGGCAGAGCAATCAAAGACTTGTAGTTGACTCTGAGTGGAAAAAAGAAGGAACACAACAAAAGTTTTAGGGGGAAATGGGGGGGGGGGGAGTAGGAAATATTCTTCTAAGAGCAGAT